TCTTTTCCTCTAATTAACATACGAAAAAAACCTACATTCCCCCCCATCGTGTCAGTGTAAATAGGGCCTCAGATTAGCAGAAAGGGAGGGGGTAGGATAAACGTAATTACGGTGACCCTAAGGTGTAAATTAACAACATTTGAAAAAACACAACAAAAATTAAAGCTGCAAGCAGCATTGGAGGTCCTCACAGCAAAGCGCCGCTCCGGCCTTATGGTGTCTGTGGGAGCTCCAGCTAGTCCACCCAGTCGCCATCATGTACGCTCTCATGCCAATCCCACACGCGTTCACCATGGGGCGCAATTCCCGAATCTTTGACATCACCTTCTGTCCATTTTGTTACTTGTCCAGCTTCAGGCCATACAAGTATAGGTGAAATCTGACCTTCCAGAAAGGAGTTATGGTGACTTCCTGTTTTTTTGCGAATGTTTGACAAGCACTTCCTTTATGCTTTTCAACATGTCATGTGTGGTAATCAACAGTTAGCGAACAAAGTTTCAGTCTAATATCTTACACAGTGCAAAGCTGTAAGTGTCATCCAATAATCGACAGTTTTTGCTCTGACTAGGTTGGGCATAAGTCATGTTATGAATCAACAATACCAATGTGTCTACAAGTGCTCACTGATGAAGTCCAAAAACTCAGGTTCAGATTGGATGATGTATCACTGAGATATAACTGTTGGAATAATGTAGGTGGCATATTTGAGTCCAATGTTAAAGAACAATATCAATGTGTCTCTAAGTGCTCACTGATCATGCATATAAAATCTTGTTACATATTTGATGATTGTTCACTGAGATATAACTGTTGGAATAATCTAAGGGTGCACTGGAGTCAAAAGTTAAAGAACAATACCATTGTGTTTAGAAGTGTTCACTAATGACGTCCCCAAAATTGGGCCTAGATCTGATGATATTTCACTGAGATATAACGGTTGGAATAATCTAGGGGGCGCACTTGAGTCCAATGTTAAACCACAATATCAATGTGTCTAGACGTGGTGACTGATTATGCACAAAAATTCTGGTTCAGATTGGATGATATATCACTGAGATATAACTGATTAAATAATGTATGGGACGCACTTGAGTCAAATGTTAAAGAACAATACCAATGTGTCTATAAGTGCTCACTGATCCCGCATAATAAATCTGGTACGTATTGGATGATATTTCACTGAGATATAACTGTTGGAATAATCTAGTTGGCACACTTGAGTCAAAAGTAAAAAAAAAAAACAATGTGTCTAGAAGTGTTCACTAATGACACATCCAAAATCTGGCTCATATCAGATGATATATCACTGAGATATAACTTTTGGAATAATCTAGGGGGCGCACTTGAGTCAAATAGTATATAACAACACAAATGCATATAGAAGTGCTCCCTGATCACGTACCAAAAATCTGGTCCAGATCGGATAATATATCATTGAGATATAACAGTTTGAATAATCTAGGGGGCACACTTGAGTCAAATGTTAAACAATACTAATGTGTCTAGAAATGCTCACAGATTACGCACCAAAAATCTTGTGCGGATAGGATGATGTATCATTGAGATTTAACCGTTGGAATAATCTAGGGGGCGCACTAGAGTCATATGTTAAACCACAATATCAATGTGTCTAAAAGTCCTCACTGATTACGCAAAATAAATCTGGTACAGATCGGATGTTGTATCACTGACCTATAACTGTAGGAATAATGTAGGGGGCACTGTGGAGGCTATTGGCTACTTATCATGGTTACCTGTTTAAGGAGCGGATAATGATCGATCATAGTGATTTTGGTGCACCTCGGCTAAAATCTGTGCAATTTAGAGCCAAACGTATTGCAACGGCGTCACTTCTTGATTCGCCACACTGCCATGCCCACATCCTCAAGCCAAAACGATTTGTGCTTTAAATCAAGTCAGACCATATTATCTGTCTTCTAACACATTATCATCCTGATTAGGTCAATGGTGTCAAAGAGGGAGCATTCCAAGTTAAAAAAGAGACTTCCTGTTCCAAGGGGGCGGGGCTTTGATGACATCAAAATATGACCACAGTGGATCGCCAGGCATCCAACAGGGATGAGTCATGCCAAGTTTCGTGCATTTTGGTCTTTCAATGTGAAAGTTATAGTGTTTCGTTTTTCATGGTGAGATGCCAAACTTTGAGGTCTGGCCCCGCCCCTTCAGCATGCTCCAAAACGAACCATTTTAACTTTGCATCCCCCATGCCTTTTGACCAAAATGGCCAAGTTTGAAACCGATTGAGAAATCCCTAGGAGGAGTTCTTTCAAATGCGGAGGCTGTAAACTGCCCAAAATATATGAAAATTGGGCCGGCATTCCAAAATGGCCGCCTTCCTGTTTATCGTACAACGTTGATGCCAGAGGGTTTTCTGTGCATCTTGGGAAATTGGACAAGCGTACCAAATTTCATGTTCCTATGACAAACTATGGTTAATACAGAGGGTATTTTGAAAATTTCTAGGTGGCGCTATTGAGCCGTTTCTGTTGCGATTTTCGCCACGTCCTTAAAATACATAATTTTTCACCAGTCCTGATGCGTCCGCCAAATTTGGTGACTTTTGGGATATGTTAAGGCCCCCAAAACGCCAATTCATTTGGCGGAAAAAATTGCAGCTCGGGCCTGAACAAAGCGATCATAATAGGCCTTTGCAGCGCTTAGCTGCTCTGGCCTAATAAATAAATAAAATCACTGGTTGAGATCAATAGCACCCCACCTTCACTGAAAACAGTGTTAGTAAAGACCTGATTGAACATTTTTGGATTTTTACCTGAATTATTGAGCATGAATTTTGGTGTTTTGAACCACTTTGGCACGGATACCTCAGAGGTGTTGTTGGGGGAGAGGGTGGATCCCAGAGGCCATATTATCACCAGCAAACTGTTTTTTCCCACTATGGGAATATGCTGCTTGTGGAACCCAGTATGTTTGGTAGCTCTTCAGATGGAAGAAGTCCTTTGGATGAAGGATGAAACATCACAGCAAAAAATACAACAAAAAAAAAGTCCAGATGACATGACTGAACATTGTTAGATTTTTACCTAGATTATTGAGCATAAACTTTTAAGTGTTAGTAAAGCGCTGTTTTCCTCTCCTCAGCTGCTTGATGGTTTGACAGAATCTCCTTGGAGCTGACCGAGAGACTTTATCCTAGGTCTCACCAAACTCATCCCTCATCCAAGATTTTGTCTCAGCAACGGCCATTGCTGCGGACCGTTTGGCTCTCCGGTACTCCTCAGATGCCTCTGGAGTCCAACCAGCCAACAAGACCCAATAGGACTCCTTCTTCAGCTTGACAGCTTCCCCACCACATGGTGTCCACCACCAAGTTTGAGGATAATCACCACAAGAAGCACAGACAACCTTGCCACAGCTCAAGGCAGCTACTTCAACAATTGACATGCTTCCACGCATGGCACTTGGACTCACTGTCCCCCACCTCAGCTGGGATGCAGTTAAAGCTCTCCTGGAGGAGAATTGAAGATATTTCTGACAGGTTATTCTGTCAGGCATTCCTAGTAAACCCTCACTACACATTTGGGTCTACTGGGTCTGTCCAGCATCTTCCCTTGCCATCTGATCCAACTCACTATCAGGTGGTGATCAGTGGACAGCTTAGCTCCTCTCTTCACCTGAGTGTCCAAAGCAAATGGCCGCAAATCAGATGACACAACTACAAAGTCAATCATCAAACTATGACCTAGGGCGTCCTGGTGCCAAGTGCACTTATGGACACCCTTATGTTCTAACATGGTGTACATGATGGACAAACTATGACTAGCACAGAAGTCCAACAACAGAACACCGCTCTAGTTCAGATCAGAGAGGCAATTCGTCCCAATCACACCCCTCCAGGTCACACTGTCATTACCTACGTGTGCAATGAAGTTCCCCCAGCACAATAAAGGAATCCCCCGCTGGTGCACCTTCCAGCATCCTCGTCAAGGACTCTAAGAAGGCTGGATACTCTGAACTGCTGTTTGGTGTGTAGGCCCAAATAGCAGACAGAGTCCATCCCTCCACCCGAAGGTGAAGGGAAACCACCCTCTCATCTACTGGAGAAAACTCCAAAACACAGGCACCAAGTTGGGGGGCCAAAAATAGACCCACACCAGCTCAGCACCACTCACCATGGGCAACTCCAGAGTGGAATAAAGTCCAGCCCCTCTCATGGAGATTTGTTTCGGAGTCCATGCTGTGTATCGAGTTGGGCCCAACTATATCTAGTTGGTACCTCTAAACCTCACGCACAAGCTCAGGCTCCTTCCCCACCAGAGAGGTTACATTCCACGTCCCAAGAGTCAGTTTTGGTAAGCTAGTGTCAGAGCGCCAAAGTCCCTGTCTTCGGCCACTGCCTGTGGAATCATGCACCCAACTTGTATGGCCCCTCCTTCAGATGGTGGGCCCACAGGAAGGCAAACCCATGTTTTTCTTTGGGCTGAACCCAACCAGGCCTCATGGGTAAAGACTCGGTCACCAGGTGCCCACCAACAAGCCCCTCCCCCAAGCCTGGCTCCAGGAAGGGGCCCCAATAACTCAGGTCCGGGCAAGGGACACTGAGTTCCTTGATATTGTTTGTCCATTAATGTCTTCTGTATCACTCTTCATCTGGCCTGTCACCTGTAACCAAACTGCCTTGGGAAACCCTACCAGGGGCAATTAAAATTGCACCAGACAGCATAGCTCCTAGATCATTCAGGCATGGAAACTCCTCCACCACAATAAGGAGGTGATTCAGGGAGGAGCACTTGAATATCTTGCATCAAAAACATTAAGGTTCACTTACATTCCCTTTTCAATTCCTGTCCAGAAACACCCTCATCTCCAAAGCAACAAACTTTCTCTATCCACATCCCTCAGTGAAGGAGAACATCAGCATACAGCTTGTAATCATAGAGCTCTCACACATTCTGTTGCTTAATCTACATCACATATCAGTCTAATATATTAATGCAGAACTTGGGGGTGTGGCACCTGACCTGTACCAGTTAGTAAGTGTCATCATGATGTAGAGGGAAGCTAGGAAGAGCATGAAGTGAAAGAACGAGTAGCTGTATTGGACCGCATCTGGCTCATTGTCCTCCATATGTCTGGACCCCATAAATTCCTCTGACGGGTCATTGCTGCAGCCCCCCTCAGCGTGAATAGCCGACTCTTTGGAGACCATGGTCAACTTGTTCACCTGGTTTGTGTTGGACGAACGAATGCTGTAGATAAAGGAAAGAGGATAAGTCCAACATGTTCAAAATGACCATAAAAACGGTACAACAGAAGGACCTTTTATAACTATATTTTACTGTCTAAAAAAGTTAAATCTGGTCCTCTGGACATTCAAAAAAACAAAAC